ACACAGGAGGAGCTGGTGGCTGCAGATGCTCACTGTCCTTTCCCTCCCAGGTTTGAGGCACCCTACTCCCCATTCCTGTTTGCTCCTCAGCACACTGGCCTTGGTTAGGGTTCTTCATGCAGAGGGTCATCTCTCCTCCCAGGCTGTGGGCCTCCAAGCCTCATCTCCTCTCTGGACTCCTTGAGCACCGGCTGCACTGCTTGGTTTGCACCTCCTGCAGAATGAGCACGGGGCCACTCCTTCTCCCTCTCCTCTCTGTGATCATCACTGTCACTGTTATTATCCGACCACCCCCAAAGTTGGTCGTATTGACCAGCACTTCATCCAACATGGAAATCACAACCAACCATGATCTCTGGAGGAACGGGCTTCCCCCAGCCATCGACTTTGCTCCAGAAGGTTTGTCGTAAAGAAAGGGTCTTTGGTACAGGTGATGCAACGCTAGGTCACAGTCATACGTGCCTGCAGGCTCTCCTGAGATGAGAGCTGTCAGAACAGGGCTTGCTCCTCAGTGCCACAGGAGCACCCAGGACCACCCGACAGCAGAACCCGGAGGGCAGGAGTCTGTGTGCAGCTCAGCAGAGGCCTGGTGAGCTCTCCAGGGCAGAGGTCCGCTCTCCACTGTCACAGAGGGACACGGAGGCCAAGCAGAGCACCCTCCGTTCAAAGAATCTGACTTCCTGGTGGCTGGTGTGGGAGCTTATATGCAGCAAGAACCAGCACTGAAGATCTGCACAGGCCTGAGCCAGCATATATATATATATATGACCCGGTAGCCATGGGCCACCTGAGGGACGCAGCAAGACACAGTGATTGCCCTGCTCCTGCCACATCTGTTATTTTCCAGCTTTTGAAGGACAGCTGTTGAAAACAGGCCTGAACTGGTTCTTCTCCTGCACAGAAGCTCAGCTCAGCCATCTTGCTGGTGGTGTTCCACAAGAGCAAGACAGCAGGTCGCAGCAAGACCCAGCACTGAAGATCCGCACAGTCGCAGGCCTGAGCCGGCATGGGTGAGGCCCCCTGGGGTCCCGTCCTGCCCCACCCCACAACACCAGCCTGCAGAAAACCCATGTGTGCAGATTCTGACTCAATGGGAGAAGAATGCCATACTCTGGCTGAATACCTGGGAGCCCAGTGCTATAAACCCAAGGTCCCCTGGGCCACCAGAAAGGAACAGAGCGGTGTTTGTTGTTCTTTTAAATGTCTTTCAAGCATCTGGCAAATCACCTTAAGTAGAAGTGCTGCCTGTTCCAGCGTCTGTGTGGAGGAAGCTGACTCCTGTGCCTGGCCCCGCCTGCGTGTCGTGGAGGACAGTCAGGACAAGTGCGCACTTGACATTTCTTCCAAGGCAGAGTGTCTAGTGCACTGCCAACCCTGGCTCCAAGGTAGGAAGTAGGTAGAGACCCCCTCTGTGCATTCATGAGCAACAGTGGTGACTTCTCACCACGTCACGCAGCATGGAGCCACTTCCAGTGGAAAAACTCAGGGTCCAAACATTACTCCCTTTTTCTCTAGCTAAACTTGGGGTGTAAATGCCTGGCTTCTGGTTCAAGTATGGGCACCATGCAGCTGTGTGAGTGTAGACTACTCTCTTAGCCTCTCTGTGCCTTATTTGAAATGTTTGTAAAGAGCAGATGGTCAGACTGGCGTTTGATTGTCAGACTATGGCCGATGGGCCAAATCGAACCGGCCACCTGCTTTCACATAGCCCTTGAGGTGGGAGAGGGTTTCACATTTTTAAATCATTGGAAAAAAATCAAAGAATGGTATTTTGTGACAGGTGAAAATGATATGAAATTCACATTATGTGGAATGCAATAAGCTAGACCAGACCCCCAAAGCTACACAATTAAATACTACACAATTCCACCTCCACGAGGCCCCTAGATGGCCAAGTTCATAGAGACAGGAAGTGCTTGCTGGGGGCTGTGGGATGGGGAGGTGGTTTTAATAGGAGCAGCTTCACTTGGGGAAGTTGACAAAGAGCTGGAGGTGGGTGGTGGGAGTTCGCTCAGCCTTGCGAAGGGGCTTCAACCACTCGAAATGGTTCGAAGGGTAAAATGTTGTGATTGTATTTTGCCAATAGAAAAAATTATATGGAATTTAAACTTCAGTGTCTGTCACCCCATGTAGCCACGCCCACTCACATGCGAAGCTCTGTGACTGCTTCTGTTCTGGGGCAGAGGGTCCTTGCAGCGGAGATGGGACGAGCTGGGAAGCCTAAGTTATTTCTAACGATCTTTTCAGAAGATGTTTATCAAGCCCTCACTGAGAGTCATAAACACGGCGTTTTTAGTAAGGGTGTGCGGCTTTGCCTCCGAGTGCTAATTCTTCATTTACTGCGTGTTTGCTGCAGAGCCAGGTCCCAAGGTCACCATCTCCTTAAAGAGATGCTGGCTCCCTCAATGCTCTGCTTCAGTTTCACCGTCTGTGGGGGGTAAGACTTCATCTCACAGGATGAGAGGGTGGGTGTGTGCAGTTCGGGGTGACAAATAGGTTCCAGGATGGGGGCGATGGTGGTACCTTGATGTGACTTACTTAATGCCACCAAAGCTGCACTTAAAATGCCTAATCTGGTAAATGTTATGTTAGGTCCATTTTGCCACAAGAATTTTTTTAAAAAAGAGTGTGTGTACAGAGCTTAGAACTGTAGCTGGTATACAGCAAACGCTCGATAATACAAGCTGACTGCATGAAACAGAGTTGGAACAAGATGATGGCGAAGATCTATGGCAAGCCTCCGGATCTAGGTGGCCTGTGCACTGTGTCATTTATTACACTCCCGTCCAGTCCTGGAAGCAGAGTCTACCTGCCCGTTCTAACACAAGGCTTTGGTGCAGTAACATGAGAGAAAATTGGGTAAGCATCAGGAGGTTTTTCTCCTAATGAAGGGAGCCACCAACTAAAGGGACTTGTTTGGATTCTTCCCACCCAATGACTCCCAGGTGGCCTAGGAGCTTCCAGCTCCCCCCAGTCCCTACCCCCCATAAGAATCCACCAGAAATCAGCAGCCCAGCAAGCCCTGCATGGCGAGTTGGGAAGGGCTCCTGTGGTCCTGGCTTGACTTCCCTAGTACCGTGAGCAAGTCATATCCTTGGGAGATGATGAAGACCATTTACAGCTGCAGAATTAACTGTCTTAATTAATATTGGAAGTCTTCCGCTTTGACCACTTACTATTTTTAGCAAGATTTCCCACAGCCAACTTTGGTTTGTTTCCAAAATAATTGAGCTACGGCAAAACTAACCAGGAGCCGCATTTCGTGGTTGCTTTCGGAGGCTTGCGTCTTCTCCGGGAAATGCACACACAGCGCCAACCGGTCACGTTCAGCAGGATCAGAAGCAGCGGGAGAGCCTGGGAATTCTAGAAGCCTTCCTAGATAAGGGGAGCTTCGTCTCTGGTTTAAAAACTGCTGGAAGGAAACATGAGCAGAAAAAGGTGGTGGAAGCCACTGGCTCTCCGTACCCGGGGAAACCGACTGGCAGGAAAGGGATCGCGGAGACAGAGCTGCACAAACGGGCTCTGCTGAAAATCACCAGCCTCTGCAGAGCGCCCCTTGGGTTTCAGCCTCAGCGTTTGAACAGTCTGGCCATCACTTAACAGGTCCTCTAACAAGCAGAGGCTTCTTTTCTGCAGGGGGGTGTGGGGGTGCTTTGCGGGGCCTTTCCTTGGCAGCCTGGCTTGGAAGAGGGGAGTGCCTTTTGCCGCAGTCAGATCCATAAAGACTAGAGAGAAACTTCAGCCTCTTGAGAAGAAACTCAGTCCATATGTGGGCACCTGATAAGACCCTGGGTGTGTTGGAGATACAAAATATGACAATCACACTGTGCGTGGGACTCAGAACAGGGGAGGGGAGGGGATCTGGGTTATGTTTTTAGCAAGTAAAGGCGTGTGTAAAGCAGAGATCCAAGAGAAATTCTGTTAACATATCTTCACAGGCAGCATGCTGAGCAGACTTGTTTTGGGGGGAAACTTGGTTGAAGAGAGTCTGTTGTAGGTAATACATCTTTTTAAAAAATATTTATATTTATTTTTTAGTTGCAGTTGGACACAATACCTTTATTTTATTTATTTCCATGTGGTACTGAGGATCCAACCCAGGTCCTCAAATGTGCTAGCCGAGCGTGTACCCCTGAGCCACAGCCAAGTTTCTCAACTTCTCTGAAGTTCACTGTTCTTGTAAATTAGGACCCTACAGAACCTTGGTGAGAGTCAGAGACTGCCTCCCCACAACTCCTCTCAGCCATGTTCTGGGAACTTCGCATCCACCGAGGGGAACTGAACCTGGGCCAGAACCAGTGTGCCCCAACCCGGGTTCTGCTGATAGGCAATGTGACTTCAGGTCACTCTTAACCTTTTCAGGGTTCACCAGTTGTATGTGTCCATAGGTTGAACTTGGTGATTGCTACGAATCTTGTCTATTAAACAGCAATGGCTATGGTGACCACATACCATAAGTGTCCCTGCTGGGCAACAGTGTGCATGTCACCTTCAACAGCTATCATGTGTCAAGTACTTCCTCATTGCCAGATAATGTGCCTGTAGACTATGATGTCATGTAATTGATTCAGCTTGTGAAGACCTAAGCTGAGGCACCCTCAGGCCACACCGCAGAGGTGACGCTCAGACAAGATCCTGCTGCCCAGCCAGCTTCCACACTGGCCACGGGGCTCCACCAGGTGCTCCACCACCTACAGAAACATTTGTAGAGTGTCTGCTGTGCTGTTCTGTTCTGTGGCCCAGCAGAGCTCTCTAGAAACAAGCTCAAAACCGCTCTGCATGTGAAGTTGGTTATTGCTAATAAGCCGAAGCATCATGATTTAGGCCCCAGCACAAGCCGGGCCTCGAGGGGGACTGATAGTGAGTGGCCTCGCCTTTTCAGCTTGGCACACCGGGGGGCTGGAATAATCAGGAGCATTAGCTTAAGTAAAGCACTGATTTAGTAGGTGTGCTGGGTGCAGGGCATGTTTCAACTTGGTAATTGTCTTTATCCTGCACAGATGCGGGTCAGGTTCCCAGAGATGCCCAACCCTGATGCCAAAGAGAATCGGAGAAATCTGCAAGGGGCTTAAAGAGGCAGCAGCACTGCTTTTCAGGTACAACTGGTTTGTTCCACACAGGGACATTGAGACAGGTCCCTGGAGAAGGACCTGTGAGTGAAAAGGAGGTGGTAGGTGTAGGAGCTGCGTCTTAGACGTTGTTCTGGACACCAGTTTTGAGGGATGCTTATACACGCCTTCTTCCTCCCTGACTCCTGGTGGGTGTCCTTCCCTCTGCTGTGGTTTCATTGATGCTGGGCCGAATCCCCAGGACAGCGGCCGCATTGTCAGTCAAGTTGAGCTGACTCTCCACTTGCAGCTAAGGGTCTCAGCTTATCCATTTCGAGGCTGGGTATCCTCCACCGGGTGTCTGATCTGACTGCTCGTTGTATTAGCAGTGCCCGTCTCCTTCCCGGCCCCAGGATACTGCAAGGAAAGCAGAGGGACGATCCTGGCCCCGAGCCTAGATAGGACTCCCAGAGCCGGGGGTGGGGGGGCTGGGAGGGTGGGTGCTGGTCAGTGGGAGAGCTGGGCTCCAGTGCAGTCAAGTCCACATGTGTGTACTTCCTCAGCACCCTCAGGACCTGAGGGCTAAGTACAGCTCTCAGGGATTTAGGAATGAAGGGGAAACCAAAGTGGGTAAGTTGCTGGGTGCCCAGATGCATCTTGTGGTTTCAGGTCAAGGCCACCTAAAACCCATCTTCCATAGATCTCAGCACTGTCCTGCCTCTGCCATACCACACACCCAACTGGAAGATATATATCTGTATATTTTATTTATTGGTTCTTTGATTGATTGATTGGCAGAGGCAGGTTTATTTGCTTGAGTGTCTTAGCAGCCCTAGCAACTGGTCGAGGCACCTCTGAGCTCTACTGCAGCTCTCCATGTTGGGGACTGATGGAGCCATGGCCCAGGCCAGCTTCACAACTCCAGATGGTCTGTGGATCTCTGCTGGCCCCTCCCCAGCCTCCCTCATCACACAGCACGTGGCCCCTGGACCAGCAGCAGCAGCACCTAGGAGCTGGCTGGGCATGCGGAATCCTGACCCACCCCAGGACTACTGAGCCAGCCCCTGCCCTTGTAACGTTCCCTAAGCTTGAGGGGACCCTGAAGCATGAGCGGCACCTGCCTTGGGACGTGGCTGTCCTCCTGCAGAAGGCAGGGATCCAAGGCCTAGAAGCCGGAGGCCCTTCGCACCCCAGCCTCCACCCTCGTCCTTTCTTCCACCTTTCGTCCACCAATGCCTCCCACCTAGTTTTGCAGGTAGAAATGCTGAAGCCAGAGATGGGCAGAGACCTGCCCTTTGCCCTCCACTGGCCGAGCTGGGTGACAGCTGCATCCCTTGGGAGATGCACAGCTCCTGTCCATGTCCCAGGATGGCTCTGTCTTCTGATCAAGCAAAAAGGCTAAGCAGCCATGACCCACTCAACCCACGGATGCCGGGGGCTGAACCACAGAGAAGCAGCTTTTCTCCGTGGTCAAGTGTCCATTTACCGACAACTCTTCAGTGCTACAAAATTTGGAGCAACCTTTGTAGGATATTTGGTGGCCATGTTGCCGTCACGTGTGGGATGGCAGGTGATCAAAATGCAGCTGCAGATGGCATGGGCCCTGGAATCGCTTATTCAAATTCTGTCACTTTTTCAGATAGGACTTTGATTTATAGCTGCAGAAACAATTTTTTTAATGGATATACAGAACTACTGCAGGGTTCTTTTGCAGCAAGGAGACCTGCTCTTCCCAGGCCCCTCGCTGGGTCATTGCTCCTCCAATCCCTGTGCTTCCACCCAATGGCATTGTCCCTGGTGACAGGGGTGGCATGTTCACATTTGTTCCTATCCCGGGTTCTGGCATGCCAGGTGCTGGTAAATGTTGGTTGGATGAATAAAGATAAACAAGTCTGTGACTCGGTGGAACTTGCCTAGGTTTCTCTGATCCTCACTGCAGGTTTGTCTACACAAAGTCTATTTATCCGCATCTCCCTGATGAGCCTTCACGCGGTTACTCACGGTCCGTTTTTGGTTCCTTTTGTTTGATTTCAGATTTGCCTGGGAAAGCCTTGCTAAAGAAAGTAGAAAACTCTGTGGCGACAGCAGCTAATGGCTACATGTTAATTGCAGGGAGGAGCAGGGACGCTCATGGGCGGTGGCTGTCCCCACTGGAGAGCCACAGGCAGCAGCTCTGCCTTCCTGGGCTCTGGAATTGCCCTGGGGCTGAGCAGACACTTTCTGGAAGTCTGGTGTGGTTTTCACATTAGTTGTCGGGGAGGTTCTTGGGGCTATTTCTGACACTCACCCCTACCTCCCTATTTACCCAGAAATTGCTAGAGCTGGCCTCCTGGTTGTGCAGGGGTCCTCCAGGGCCCAGCTCAGAGGTCCCTGGTGGGCTGGAGATGTAACATCTGCAGTGTGTGTACATGAAACCAGGCAGGGAGAGGTGAAATGAGTTAAAAACCAGAAGTGCATGAGAGACTCTTGAAATTTCCCGTGCGCTCTGTCTCTGTAGTGGTAACTTACCACACAGGAATCAGCCCTAGGATTAAGCTTCACTTTAGTTAGTTTACAGCACTGTCACTTGTGGAAAACAGGTGTTGGACAACGCGTTTGGAGTTTGGAACTGAAAGGTGCAGAGAGGAAGTGGCTTTCCTGGCCTGATCGCAAGGCAGACCCCAAAGCAGGCGTGTGCAACCAGTGGAGGCCCCTGTCTGCATCAGGAGCATCCAAATCCCAAAAGAGAAGCAAAGAGTGGCGAGGCCAGGCTGGAGCCAAGCCAGCACTCCCGCCCATCTCGCACGTCGAGGCAAAGGTGAGGAGAAAGCCACTTTCCCTGGCTTTGCACCCCCAGAATGCCAGTCCCCTGGCCAGCTGGGGATGACTGATCCTTCTGCCCCTTTATAGTGAGCCCTCAGCCCACGAGCCACCATAACAATGTGGCCAAAGTGGAGGGAGTTCGTCATCCCCCAACAGGGCCACCTATGGGGTAAAGATGTGGGTTCTTGTCACACCTCCCACCAAGGGCGAGGACTCTGCTCCTCTGCTGGACTCTGAGCCCACCTCTGACTTGCTTTGCTTGGTAAGATGTGCAGGATGCGACTTTCAAGGCCTGGGCTTAAGAGAGCTATAGCTTTTCACTGTTGGAAGGCTTCTGCTCGGAACCCAGCATCATGCTGAGGAGATCAGCCGTAGAGAGGCAGATGGAGGGAGTGAGACGCTCTGTCCACAGCCGGCATGGGCTGCTGGCCACGGTGTGAAGGAGGGTGGGTTGCCTCCAGCCCCCTGAGCCTCTGGATCAGCGTCGCTCCTGAGTCCACCACAGGAGACTTGAAGAACCCCCTGGCTGAGCCGTCAGCCCCCAGAACTCTGTGATAGTGAGCGGTTGTCACATTAAGCTACTACATGTTGGATCATTTGTTATGCAACAATGGCCAGTGGAGAAACGCAGAGATGGGCTCGCTAACGAGATTTTGGAGGCAGAGGACTCATTCTCCTCATGTCTTACTAAGGGTGGTGCATGGCCCGGCTGTGGATTGCCAGTGACAGTTGGACCTGGCTGGTGATCGCTCCTGTAGAGCCAACAGATCCTTGCAGCACACCCTGCCCACCGTTCGTTTCACATGCAGATGACCATCCCTGTCCCAGTGTCACTGCTTCCGCTGCTCCCTGGTAAGTAAGCCTCACCTGATGTCTGTTAAGTAGCCCTAAGAAGCCAACACTGCAACAAATCTCCTGCCTTAAGTCGGGCACCCCTGGAACAGACTCTGGGGCTGGGGCTCTGGCACAGGGGCTCACAGAGGGCCGACCTCGGGTTCTCAGCCTTGGAGAAGCAGGACTGGTGCAAATGAACTGGACAATGCAATGGTCATGGCCAGGCACCATGGGAGCCCTCAGAGTTGTCACTCACTGGGTGAGCTCTGGGTCCCAGCCCCACCCCACCAGCTAGGCTGACCAACATTGCAGAATTGGGGGCTCCTGGAATGTGGGCCCTTTGATCTGACAATTGGGGCAGTCTGGGCAACCAGGAGGGGTTGGTCACCCCACCCCACACCAGTTGTTGGCCATGAGCTGTCCCTGAGGATGACATGGCCTGGGGGAGGGTGGGCAGGGGCTCCTTTTTAGCAGAGAGCACTTACCCACAGCGGCCCTTGCTGCCAGCCCTCACAGGGACAGAGGGAACGACTCCTCAGCCCCCAGGGAGGAGCAGGGCACCTCCTTGGCATCCACAGGGATTCACTTATGCCCTACAGTGTCCCTGGCCATGTCCAAATGACAGTAGCAACAGGCCCTGACATCCTTCTGGTTTCAGGGACATGGTGGCTCCTTCTGCCTGGAGTGTGTGGGAAGGGGAGGGGCAGGGCCCAAGTCCAACACCAAGGGCAAACCTTGTCAGTCAGAATGAGCCTCTGGGCCCTCTGAAGGAGGGTCCCCTCTGCTTCCCCTCTTTCTCCCTTCCCCATCCGCCCCCCTGGACCCTATAAGCTAATGTGTGGACAAGATGCAGCCCCCACAGATGGGATCCCTCCATCCAGGGATCAGACCCAGTTTCCAGGTCCCTTTTCTCTGTCACCTGCTAGGTGAGGCCTTGGCCAAACCCCCAAGATGTGTCTGGGTCTCCATCGTCCAAAGCCTGGCCTCTGTGTCCTTGGACCATGAACCTCTGACAGTCAAATGCTTTCTGAACACCAACCTCTGTGTGACCAATGGGCCCAAAGAACAGGGCCCACTGCCATGCAGGCTCTCAGCGAATGAACGAGTGAGTGGCTGAGTGACTGCCTTGCAGGGGCCCCAGGGGCCCCAGGATGAGTACGCCCTCAACGGTGCTGCAGGACTAAATGCTCTGTGGTGGCTCAAGTCAAGGCAGGAAGTGGTGAGCTTTCCTGGCACCTCCTTCCAGCCTGAGATTGAGAAAGGCAAACCCCACAACCAAATCTCCCTCCTCCTCCTGTCGGTGTGTCCCACAAGGGGGCAGACGCCCACCTGAGGACCTCAGTCACTATGAAGCGGAGGCCCAGCTCACTGCCCAGGTGCCTCCCTGTGCAGGCTGACAGGCTGGCAGCAGCAGATGCTGGGGCGCGTGAAGGGGCGCGTGAAGGTCACCTGCCTCGCGCCTCAGGCCTGCCTGGCTGGAGCTGGTGGACGCGCTGGAAGGATCTGCTGCTTGGCCACTCCCTCCCCCACAGCCTCACGTGTTTCCTCCGAGCGGAACTTCTTCACACAGGCCCACAGGAGGGGATCCATAAACCAGGCTCATTAACCAGCTGAAAGGCAAGTAGCTGGGGACCCGGGCTGTGGCGCTAGGAAGATTCAAACACACCACATTTGTTTATTTTCTTAAAAGTTTCTGAGCGAATGTATATTTCTGCATGTTTAGAGATTGGCAGCCCCAGAAAATGAAGTTTATTTATCCACCAGATACACATCACATAAACAGCTGCACACGGCTCTGCCTCCCCAAGAGGCTGCGGCACTGGCAGCTGAGCGACGGCCCCACGTTCCTGCACACTCTGCCCTCAGCCCGGCCTTGGGGTGAGCCTGTGGGAGGCGGGCAGCCTGCTTCTGGCACTGGGTGGGGTTGAGACCAAAGCTCTATGCACTGGGGAGAGCTTCCAGAATCTTCTCTGGCAGTTGCAAATCATTTCATTGATGTGTTCACTCAACAATCAATGCTTGTTCCCAGGCCCTGTGTTAGACTCTGTGGATGCCCAGATCAGACTGGCCCCTGGCAAGCCCTCCTCTCCCAGTGGAGAGCCTGGAGAAGCAGTGTCCTGAGGGGCCTGCCTGTCCCTTCTGTTACCCCAGCAGCGACAGCTGTCCCTCGTCCTCCTCCAGCTCCGTTCCCATGAGTGCCTGGGGAAGTGAGCTCAAGGACGCTTCCGGAAATGAGAAGAGGTCAGGATGCTAAAGTGTTTGGAAGTCATTCTTTGCTCTCCATGAAACTCCGCAGTGGCTGGGGACCACTCTGCATCTGCACGTGTTTTAATTTATTAAATGCGGACGTCCGAAAACCCCGGAGCCAGACCCCTGGGCTGCTGAAGGGATGTATCAGACCTTTCCTCTTCCTCTGCATCTCAGGGCAGGTAACATGAGTGAGCAAGGGGAGTCAGCCCTGGCAAGCTGGCCCCAGAGCTATGGCCCCTGGGAGGCTAGCTTGGCAAGAGGGCTCGAATGCTATTTTCCTTTCTAGGAAGAGCAGTTTACACTTACTAGATGGATTGTCATTGGACCAGGAGAGGCAGAGGTTGCAATTTCTTGTCCCCAAATTGCTTTTCTTGGGAACCTTGCTGCCCTTGAGTCAGTCCCTTCCTTTCTCTCCAGCCAGGGAACAGCAGGACTCGCGGGCAGCCCTGGATCTCACAGACAGGTGCAGCACAGCTGGGAGGGTGGCCTCCCAGCACAGTGGGACTTGGACAATGGCCAAGATGTGCCTTTGGATGGACTAGGAGATGGGAGAGGGCCACAAGGACAAGGGCACACAGACTAAGTAAGGGGCAGGGGGAAACGCTGAGCTCAAGGTGAGCGGGGCCAGCCAGGAAAGGAAGCCAGGAGGAGACACGGTTGTCCACCTCCTGTCACACACTCACTTGCCGTCCTGGTCTGTGCTCACAGTGACCTAGAGGGGACCCGACTTGGGCATTGCTTCCAGCTACTGTTTATTAAGCCAGCCAGAATTAGGCCCTGTGCTAACGGCTTTTTCAGCAGTGTCTGAATTGTTTTGGGATGAATGGTGACCCCGTCAGATAGATGCTGAGGTCTTATCCCTGGTATCTATGAATATGACCTTATTTGGAAGAAGGATCTTTGTGGCAGATGTCATCAAGCTAAGACACGTTTGTAAGGGCCAGCCCTAACTCAGCAAGACTGGTGTCCTTACAAAAAGATCAAGTTGGTCACGTGCACACAGGGAGAACACTGTGTGGTGACGGACGCAGTGAGCAGGTGCCGCAGCAGCCAGCTGAGGATGCTGAGGTTGGCCCAGGACCTCTGGTGACCATGAGGAGCTGGCACAGCTGGGAAAGGCACCTCCTATGGGCCTCAGAGGCAGCACAGCAGCCTTGATCAGGGACTTCCAGCATCTGGAGCTGAGGTGGCACGTTCCTGTGGTTTCAAGCCACCTGATTTGTGCCTTGTTTCCCCCACAAGTTCATTATCCCATCTGAGGTAGGTGGAGCAAAGGACCCCCAAGTCCCAAATTTAATCCCCAGAATCTGGAAAAATAGACTTTGCTGATGGAAAGGGAATTAATGTTCCCTTGAAATAGGGAGGTTATTTGGTGAACCTCAGACAGGGACCACCATGGGGACAAGGGACAAATGCACTTCTAGGTCTTGGGTATTGGCCTGAAAGCAGACCCCAGGAGGCTTGGTGTGCGCCAGCTTTGTATCATTGAGGTCAGGTGCCCTGTGTGCGCTCTTGAACAGCTGGGGTAACGGCACAGGGCAAGATGCTTGAGTTAAGTACACAAAGCCAATTAGTGTCCCCACCCCTGCAAGTAGCCCATGAAACAGGTCCCCTTCTTTGGTTTGGGGAACCACCGTGACATCTTCTCACTGGAGCCGTCTCCCTTCCTAAAGGGAAGCCCCAGGGAAGGTCTTGCCTGCACTTTCACTGAGCCGACTTGATTTTGTTTCTACTGTCATTGGGTGAAAAGACCCCAGCATCCGACATCAGACCCATCTCATCACCTGGGGCCTTTCAAAGCAGAGAACTCTCTTCAGCTGAAGCAGAAGCCAGGCGGCAGAGGCTCATTGTCCTTGTTGGCTTT